TTTGTCCTTTGGCTCCCTCACCAGTATGGTGTTTTTTTTTTCCCAGTTAGTGTTTACACAGCTAGGTGGAAGTACAAAGAGTAGGGCAGGCGTGGAACGGAAGACCAGTCTAAAACGAAGACGGTGCTTAGGCAGCAGGACAGTCTGCGGGAGGAGCAGCCAGGTTTTCAAGGTTGTCTCCTGCTTTTCTGCGTCGAGGGGCGCAGTTCATTCCCACGAATGCCCTGGCAGAAATGGTTCGGATGATCTAAGAAACCTCCAGCTCTTTTCTGACCTCTCCCCAGGGCAGGGGATAAATGTCTCTCCGTGTGCCTTGTTTAAGCGCTGCCGTCGGTTTAGGGGTTATGTGTGAGGTAACACGACACGATGGCATCGTGCTGGCAAACGACAGGGGCCTCAGTGTATCTCGGGCTAATTATTTGCTGCAATGAGTGCCAAAGTCCTGCTCCTGCCTCACGGCGTCTGTTGGCTGTCCTGGCCGCCCCTGTGGCACGGCGGCGTGTCCGTGTGGAGCAGAAGCCAGCCTGCAAGCCTCTTCTGTCTGTCTGGTTTCTTTTTCCTAAAATAAGAGGAGAAGCCCTTACTAAGCAGGGGTAATGTTAACTTCAGCAGAACTGTCAGCACTTTTCCTACTACAGAGAGTAGCTGCCCGCTCACCTTCTGCTGGGTGGAGAGTTCCCCTGCCTGGAGGGCAGCGCCATCCCGCTGGAGTTGTACTATTTGAGGTTTTGCAGAGGTGGTGGTAGGGAATGTTCTCCCTGTTTTCACTTCTAAAATGGAAATGTGTCAGGAGAGAGCACACGTGGAACCTGGTGGCTTTTGAGGAGCGTCTGCAGTAAAGATGTGTCGCTTTCAGCCTGGTCCTTTAAGGAAAGGAGTCACACAACCATGCTGCACGTGTGTCTGCCAGCGCAGAAGCCCTCTGGTTCTTGAAACTGTTGGTGTCAGCTGTAGCTGGGACAAAGGCGTTGGGATCTCACAGGGGTGAAATTCATAGAATCACAGAACGGTTTGGGTTGGAAGGGACCTCAAAGATCACCCAGTTCCAACCCCCCTGCCATGGGCAGGGACACCCTCCACTACACCAGGTTGCCCAAAGCCTCATCCAACCTGGCCTTGAACACTGCCAGGGATGGGGCAGCCACAACTTCTCTGGGCAACCTGTTCAGTGCCTCACCACCCTCAGAGTGAAAAATTTCTTCCTTAGATCCAATCTAAATCTGCCCTCTTTCAGTTTAAAGCCAAATTCCTGTGAGTTTAGTGAGAAGGATGTATTGTCATGGGAAATCAGCAGAGGGATGCGCTCGGCAGCGAGGCAGGGGTGCCCGGTGCTGCGGGAGGACAGCTCTGGGTTTGGCTGACGGCGGTAGCTTGCCGCGCTCTTCCTTTGTGTGGGCGGGCAGGTCAGGCTCCGGCGCCGTCAAACTGGCTCCCAGTTAACACAGACTCTCTGTGCACACTCCCACTCACGAGCAGTTCTGGGACACGAAACCGTCGCCTTCACCATAATCCCTTTTCTGTTTTTCCAGTCCGTCGGAACATGCTGGACTTCCCCCAGCACGTCTCTCCGTGCAAAGACATCCGTGCGGCGAGTACCGAGGCCGACAAGAAGCTCTCGGAGTTTGATGTGGAGATGAGCATGAGGCAGGACGTGTACCAGAGGATTGTCTGGCTCCAGGTGCCTGCTGGGGAGGGTGCTCTGTCAGGGATGCACCTGAGCAGGGCACTGAAACCTCCTGGAATCACAACAAACTTTTCCCTTGTAGCAGAACTTGCTGACACTGAGTCAGGTCTGGAACTGAGTCGCTGTGTGATGATGGCAGAATGGTCCAGCTGTTAGTGGGAACTGGGGAGCTGGGGTTTGAGGGCTCTCCCCCCACTCAGGGCCTCGATTGCCCCTTTGGTAAAACGGCTTTGGTAAACCCAGCCTGCCTCACCCGGGCAGGGGCTGGGTGGTGCCCTGACCAGTGCTGTAACGTGGCACAAAGGTGAGCTGGAATCCGACAGGGACTCCTGCACCAAACCAAAACCTTCTCGTGGGGTGTTTCCATCTGCTTCTGGGTCACTGGTGTCACAGTAACCCACAGCTCCCACTGGGAACCAAGCTTCTGCAACATCCGATCCTGCAGCTCTCTGTGCTCACGGGTTTTGTCTTACAGGAGAAAGCAGAGAGCGCTTCGCTGAAGCCTGAAGCAAAGAGATATCTGGAGAGGCTGATCAAACTGGGAAAAAGAAACGGTCTCCATCTCCCTGAGGAAACGCAGGAGGTGAGATCACAGGGCCTACAGTAAGCACACACAGAGGGCTAACGGGACAGCGTAGCGTTAGAGCAGAGGTCTGAGGCTCAGACTCTTGACTTTTGCCCGATTCCTGTGACTTTGGGCACACTGGGTGATGTCTCCGTGCCCTCTTTTTCTTTTCCGTTGGATGGGGATGACCTTTACAGAGTGGGGTTGATGCTGGGAGTCAGGGGGCTCCCACGAAGCTGAGATTGCAGATGGTGCTGTGCAGGTCAGGAGTGGAAATAGCACCCGGTCCCCACGTGCAGAGGGACAGTCAGGGAGGGTGCTCCGCTGGGGCTGGGGTCGGGGCGAGCGGGCTGCGGGGGGCTGAGCTGCTCGGCGTCTCCCGTTCTGATTTTGTGCCAATGCACGGAGCTCAAAGCTGGGTTGAAAAACAGAAGAGAAGGTGAAATGAAATCAGGGCAGACGAGGTTGTCGCTTCAACCCCTGCAGCTGCCAAGCTGGCAGGAGACTGCTGGGACCTTGCTGAGGTGGCTGCTTCCCACCAGGTGTGATCGAAGGGAGCTTGCTGGAGGCTGAGCGCTCAGCGCCTGCACGCGGTTAATTCTGCAGCGTGGCGTTTGGGTAAAAGCCAAGTGCAGAGCGCCGGGCAGCTCGGCGGGCACGCTGCTGGCTGGGGACAGTGAACGGTGCTGTTCGACTTCCTCCCTTGACTGGCTTTTCTCTCTTTGTCTATGTTTTGAAGAAAATCAAAGCTATTAAGAAAAAGCTGAGCGTCCTTTGCATAGACTTCAACAAGAACCTCAACGAGGACACCACCTACTTGCCCTTCTCGAAGGAGGAACTAGGTATGGAAACGGGCCACTTGTTTCTCTGCCGGTGTGGCCCTGAGTGCCTGGATTCCCCTGGCCAAGGAGCAAGAGCCTGTTCCTGCGCTCAGTCCCAGAGCTGGTGTTTCTGGAGAGGCCTGGGATCTCCATCAGTCCTGTCTGCTCTTTTCCCAGGGGGGCTCCCTGAGGACTTCCTGAACTCCCTGGAGAAGACAGAGGATGGCAAGCTGAAAGTCACCTTGAAATACCCGCACTATTTCCCTCTCTTGAAGAAGTGCTACGTGCCCGAGACGAGGAGGAAGGTGGAGGAAATGTTCAACTCCAGGTGCAAAGAGGTAGGTGGGCCTGCAGCTTGTCAACAGGGCCAGACACCGAGAGGATCTCGTGTGAGATTTGTGCTTCTTTCCGCACTGAGGCTCCTGCTTCCTTCCTTGCCTGCGTACCCCACTTCACTCTTTGTCTGACTCTACCTCGCAGGAGAACTGTTTGATCCTCAAGGAGCTGGTGGACTTGCGTGCCCAGAAAGCCAGTCTCCTGGGCTTCAGCACGCACGCAGACTTCGTGCTGGAGATGAACATGGCCAAAAGCAGCACGACGGTGGCCACGTTCCTGGGTACGGCGCTGGGCTGGGGAGGGGAAGGGCAGGGACATGCGCTGGGCTGGGTGTGCTGCTCTCAGCCCCGGGCACTCACCCTGCCTGCCTGGGTTCTCCTAGATGAGCTGGCCCTGAAGCTGAAACCCCTTGGGGAGAAGGAACGGGCTGTGATCCTGGACCTGAAGAAGAAAGAGTGCGAGAAGCGTGGCCTGGAGTTTGATAACCGCATCAACGCCTGGGACATGCGCTATTACATGAACCAGGTGGAGGAGACCAAGTACAGCGTGGACCAGAATCTGCTGAAGGAGTACTTCCCCATGCAGGTGGTCACCACAGGCCTGCTGGCCATTTACCAGGAGCTGCTGGGGCTCACCTTCCATCTGGAAGAGAAGGCTCAGGTCTGGCACGAGGACGTCCAGCTCTACACGGTGAAGGACTCCTCCTCCGGGGAGACCATCGGCAAATTCTACCTGGACCTGTACCCACGGTGAGGCCTTGGGCATGGCGAAGCGAGGGAGGAGGGCTGGGGCAGCAGGGGCAGAGCCCGCTCTGCGCCTGGGGAAGAGGAGAGACCGTCCTGCTGCCAGGCTCGTGGCCGTGTGGAGGGAGCGACGGGCACTTGGGCAGGGCTGTCCCGGGAGCGCGGGGTTGGTGTGAACCGTGGGGTCACCAGGAGCTTCTGCCCTGCGCAGTGGCCATGGGGGAGGATCTGTGTGACAGTGTCCTCTTTCTGGCCCAGGGAAGGGAAGTACGGGCACGCAGCCTGCTTCGGCCTGCAGCCGGGCTGCCTCTTGCCGGACTCCAGCCGGCAGATCTCGGTGGCTGCCATGGTGGGCAACTTCACCAAGCCCACGCCGGACGCACCTTCCCTGCTGCAGCACGATGAAGTGGAGACCTACTTCCATGAGTTTGGGCATGTCATGCACCAGCTGTGCTCTCAGGTGAGGCCCGGCTGGGCTGGCAGAGGGTTGCTTTGTTACCTTTCCTCTGTCGTGCTCCCCTGAGGGGTTCAATGACGCCCTGCTCTGGGCTTGCCGTGTCTCCTAGGCGGAGTTTGCCATGTTCAGTGGGACGCACGTGGAGCGGGACTTCGTTGAGGCACCGTCGCAGATGCTGGAGAACTGGGTGTGGGAGAAGGAGCCGTTGCTGCGCATGTCCAGGCACTACAAAACTGGAAGCCCCATCCCTGATGAACTGCTGGAGAAGCTCATTAAATCCCGGCAGGCAAACACAGGTGGGTCACTGCAGAGGGAATGGTGTCCCCCGTGTGTGGAGAGGGGACGGGGACCCTTGGTGACCTGACTGGGAAGGGGAAAGGCTTTGCCTTGCTCCCCGTGGTGCTGTGGGGACCGAGGGGACTGGGGGGAAGGAGCCACACCTGCTGCTGTTAATCTGGGAAGAGTGAGGGTGGTGTGGCAGGAGGTGCAGCGGGCTGGGTGGTGGCACAGTGAGAGGAGGTGCCAGGGAAGGCAGGGGTTATGTGCACAGGGGATGTGGCTCGGGCCTGAGTGGGTGCTGCTGGGCTGGGGCAGCGGGTCAGAAATTCAGAGAGCTCAGTTTGCCTCCTCTTTTTGAGAACAGGGCTCTTCAACTTGCGTCAGATCGTCCTGGCCAAGGTGGACCAGGCGCTGCACACCCAGACGAAGGCTGACCCCGTGGAGGTGTTTGCCCGGCTGTGCGAAGAGGTGCTGGGCGTCCCTGCCACCCCAGGTACCCAGGGGCACAGGGGGCCACTCTCGCTGGCCTGGCCTGCAAGCTTAGCTCAGCAGGTTCTTCTCAGGGCTGGGGCTTCAGGCTGGCTCAATGGGGGCAGATTCTGCTGGCTCCAGGAAAAGCGGGGCTGACGCCACACAAAAGTAACTGGAAAGTTCTTCCCTGTTTGTTCTGGGATTGCGAACAAGCTGACCCAGTGCCTGCTCCGACACGTTTACAGCACGGAGGGGTTTTTCCGTGCGGTGAGCGGTTCCAGCAGCCTTTCCCATTAACGCCCCGTCCCTTCCTCTGCCGCAAAGGCTACTTTTGGCCCCTTGGCCGGAGGCTACGACGCCCAGTACTACGGCTACCTCTGGAGCGAAGTGTACTCCATGGATATGTTCCACACGCGCTTCAAGCAGGAGGGGATCATGAACTGTAAGGTAGGGAGGACGTCGTGCACGGCTGAGCTCTCGGCGTGTGGTGGGAGGTAGGAGGTGCCACCTCCCAGAGGTGGCAGGGGAACAAACGGCATCGGTGGGAGAGCGGGCGTCCTACGCGTACCCCCGTCTCTCTCCTTGCAGGTGGGCATGGATTACAGGAATTGCATCCTGCATCCTGGCGGTTCCCTGGACGCTTCTGACATGCTGAGGAAGTTCCTGGGCCGCGAGCCCAAGCAGGACGCCTTCCTGGCCAGCAAAGGACTGAAGGTGGAGAGCAAC